ATATAAATAAGATTGTGGAACTTTCTTTTGACTAAAATACTCATTTTTGAATTTAACCTCTATTTAATTGTGAGGTTTAAATTGTAAATTAAACTACTACTTTTCACCTCATTCAATTCCTTCATTTTAAATCATACATTTTTTGATAAATGAACAGAAAAAAAAACGCAAAAGGATAAAATATTATAAAAAGAAGAATCTAACCAAGCAAGTAGACCTATTAATGGTACTTGAAACTTCACAAATCACAACTCAATCTGATTATCATATATTTAGATGAGGTGTTTATGTAATCAGATTTAGATTTTGCATATGCATATGACTAATAATAAAAAGCAAAAAGCATATAAAACAAAAAATAAAAATACGTATTTATAGAGATTTTTGGATTCATTATTACTATCATTATCATCATCTAGAGTTACCACATGCAAAGCACATGCACACTTACTAGTTAACTAAAAAGTGGGTTTCTTCAATGGCAATTAACAATAGGTGATCTTAATTTCCTCACAAAAGGGTAAACAACTATTTTTCTGAACTTATTTTGTTAAATCTTCACTTGAAACTTTCTTCCATAAATTCTTTTTATTTGCTTTTTTTTTATTCTGTAGAAAGATATTGCAATTTTATGAAAAGAATTTTTTATTTTAACCATACATGCTACACTCTATCCATGATTGAATTAACACAAAAGTCAATCAAATAAAAAGAAAAAAGAGAAAAAACTTAAAAATAAATGAATTTGTTCAAGATTTCTTTTTCTATATAAGGATTTTTAAAAAACTAAGCAAAGAGATAATGATGGATAAAATTGGGATTTTTAAAAAACTTAGGTCCGTTTGGTTCGCAGTCAGAATCAGAATTGAAATTGAAATCGAAATCATTTAAAATCGGAATCATAATGGTTTATTCCCATAGTCTGTTTGGTTCAAACAAGAATGAAAATGAGAATTGGAATCAACAGGAATGAGATTTCATTCCCAAGGGAGGGGCAAGGAATGACCATTCCCTCAAATGGGGGAATGCCATTCCAACATTAATGGGAATGGGATTCCAATTCTGCTCAACCAAACAGTTGGAATTGGAATAGCCCATTCCGATTCCGATTCCAAACCCCTATTCTTGCGAACTAAATAGGGCCTTAAACCACATATGATGTCATGTTCTAATAGATATGGATGAAGAATTAAGGAATGGGAGGTTTTTGTTTGCTGATGTCATCCAAGAGGGAGGTCTAAGTCCAATTTAAAAAGTGATGGGATGTTTTAGTATTTAGGTGAAATATTAGGGGAGGTTTAAGTATTATACCCACACAAATATTTACATACAATGGACAACTTATCATTCTATCCCATCCAAATAAGGTCATTGCTCAGAGCCTGGATCTCTCGAAAGCAAAAACTGTAAGAGCACAACATCTAATTGCACATAATGAATATCTTTTGTATATGCATGTTAAATTCATGAGGAGATGTTACTTAATGTTGATCTCAACTATTTGAGGTATTGAAAAGTTCAGATCCACTCACTAATAGGCTACAGGCATGCATTGGGAACACATTCAAATGAATGAGAACAGAGTTATTCCCCATGTGTGGTTAGTGTCATGTGGGTAGCAAATCAAGAATGTTATTGATATTGATGAGAAGGTGGGCCGGATCCACATCTAGCCTTTACTTTTCTTTCTCATAAGAAGTTACTATGAGACTTGGGCCCACATTCTCATGCTTGTCAGCTGGAGATTTTACCATTACACCAGTGCACTTATCTATGTTATTTTGATATGTTTCTGAGGTAAATTAAACAATGACCTTCCATAAAATGTCATTATTAGATGGGGCATTTTGTCCCATTAGATACCTATAGGAAAGAGAAAACAAACATGGGATTGTCGGTCAATGGGAACCACAATCAGTTTAACAAACTTCCCCTCCATTTACCGAAAGACAAATGGCACCTAAAAGCAAACAAATTAAATAACTGAAATGTTAATTTGAAATAATGGAAAATAAAAATAAAAATAGAAATAAAATATGATAATACATACATTTTTTATTATTATCTATTCTTCTATGATTTTTATTTGCAATGTTACATTAGCAATGCTGGATTTCTGAAGTATGAACTGTGAATATTATTTGGTTTTGTTGCAAGGACTTGGTTGAATTTTTCTTTGACATGGATTCTTATATAGGTCTTGCAGCTTTGTACATTCTTTAGATCAGAATTTTTTTTCTTTGGAGAGTTAAGCCTGAACTAAGGGAATGTTGGAGACTAGTGGCAAGCTAGAAGCCTAGAACCTTTATCATTGAGAATTCGGATTTGGTCCTCACAAAATCGTCCTCAAACTTTTCTCACAGCCTTCTTCAGCTATACATTAGGAACATTTCTGTACTTGTATATATTTTTATTCACGGGGAGATATTCGCAATGCACAACTGAAAGGGACTGTAAGAACGATTCTTTGAGGACCAAATCTGATTTCTATCTTTGAAGACTTAAAAAGCATAAAAGAATTTCATTTTTCATAGAATGTCTCAAAGAACCTTCAACCCAAAAGCCTAAGTTGTTAGTTCAGGTCCCTGAATAGGTTTTTATTTTCTAACACGTCCCCTCACCCAAGAGCCTAATGAGGATAATGAGGATCAAACACTAGACCACTTAGTCAAATAAACTTTAATACCATTTCAAATAACCATTCAACCTAAAAGGTTAAGTTGTTAAGAGAGTCCCCTGAATAGGTTTTTATTCTCTAATAGAATGTGTTCTTTCTCATCGAACTTTTAAACTAAGAATCACTTTTACCCTAAAAGCAGTGTTTAGTTTGAAGGAAATAGGTATCCTTACCTTTTTCCTTCAAACCAAACACATACTAAAGGTTCAACATCCCTGCTTTCTTAATTTTGGCAGGTTCCACGCTTTAATGTAGGATAAGATTGAGAAGACTTTGCCTCCACACTATTTTATTTTTCTGATTCTTTTGGTAGTTTACATCTATATCCCTGCTCCCCATTTAATATTGTTGGAATTAATGCTATCTCTGCAATGAATGTCATGGTCAAATGTTTTTGTTAGAGAGAGATGGATTTGATAAACAAATCCAAACAGTGTTGTACTAGAGAATTATCTATTCTCCTGTTATTTTAACACACTTATCAAAAAGGAGATTTATTACAATGAGATGCGTTGCCTAGTCGGCCTTATAACTAGGCCCATTCCCGGAAGCCATTTACCTAATAAGTGAATTTACTATTAAGTTATATAATAATCGTTTTATCCATAAAATGCCATTCATTAATTAGAATGAGTAAATTTGTCCTATTATGTTTTGTCATCTTCCCATGGGGAAAAGTTATCTTACTGTACACTCTTAAAAAAAAACTTCAAAAGTACATTATAGTTAACAACAAAATTCTGAACTCCGTTGCAATTCTATACAATTCAAAATAATAAATATCTTCACCCTTAAACACTACTACCTGTCCGTGAATTAGCATCAAGTCTGATTTGGCACCTACCCCAACTATATGATGGGGCTAAGAATTCTTAGAGTGTGCTCAATAGTCATTCTCTCAAAGAATTTTACCATAAAACTCACAATTTATAAAAAAGTTGCCAATTTTATCCTCTTATTTTCCAGAAAACACAAAAAGGGCCTTGGTTGTTTTTGGCCACCTATTGATCTTTTATGATAATGATTGATTAGTTGTAAGTTTTTCTAATATTATATCTTTCTGTAATGATAGTCAAACCCAATAAATCCGAAATCTAGACATAGACATGGTATTACTAAAAGTACCCTTATGAATTTGATGAATATCACCTGATTAGTCACTTCGTTTGTTATACCAGTTCATTGGCTGTAAACTTTTCCTGTATCACGTCTTTCCGGTATGATAATTTAACCCTACATGAAACTATACGGTATCTGACCCAAACCATAAACACTTTCTATATTTGAAGCCTTGAGTGATGGACACGTTGGGATCTCAGGGTTTAACCCAAGGATTTTAAAACTGAACCGGAACTGGTCAGGGGTCTGGTTTATAGGTCGAATGGTCCAACCGTTCGAATTGAATAGATAGCCTATTCTGATAAAAAAAATTAAAAAAATAAAAAATGGTCAAAATCATTAGACGGTTTGAACAATTCGATTTCTCGGGTCAGCAGTTTATTGATCAAATCAATGGTTTTTGGCAAAATAACAGTTCTGAGTAAAGCGAAGCGGTTCCCTGTTCTCCGGTCCGACCGCCGGTCCGATCCGGTTTTGAAAACCATGATTTAACCGACGTGAGCGATCTCATCGTCACTCTCATAAAATACTGCTGGACTTCTTTGCAATTAGTCATTGTCTCAGGGGTTTCATTGCCAAATCCTTCATTGATGGTACGAGTTTTTAACTACCTCCGAAGTCCGAAGATAATGACCTCGTAATTATTACATGCACAGTACAACTGAGATCCACCATCGCCGCTAGACCATCACTTCTTTTCCTTACATACGTTTCATCACATTATCAATCTAGACCGTCCATTGCGATATATTCTTTCTTATCCTTAAAAACTGTACTCCTTTATATGATATATTCCTTCTGATCCAGACACTCGGATCACTTGACTGTGGTAAAAGGACACTTATCCCCCATTACAACGGTCGAGATTCGAGGATTTGGAAGATCAAGTGGGGATAGGGCCCACACAAGAACAACACCTGCAACGGATAAGGGCAATATAGCTGAAATCCGAGAGTTGAAGTTATCAACGTCATGTACCAGTGGGCGGGACCCACCAAACCCACCAAAGGAGCCAACATGATGACGCCTGACAGCGGTTTAGCTCCAGAATCCATCAGCACGAGATCTCTCGTGTGGGACCCACCTCCCAGTGGTCCCCACCTCCCAGTGGGCCCCACCGATCATTACGGAACGGCGGAACACCCACACCCCGTCGACTGTCGTCCCATTACGTGCTACGTTTTTATGTTGAGTCGTTTGTCCTTTATCAAACACTCGAAAAAGGAAAGGAAGGAGAAAAGCAATCGAAGAATTTGGACAGCGAAAGCAGAGAGCTTCGCCATCTCTCTCTCTCTCTCTGAGCTTCAGCGGAGGAGCTTTGAAGGGTGTCTGCCTTTGAGAAAGAACAGAAAAGGGTGAGAAGAAGTTACAGACGAAATTAAGGAAAACTGATGCTGGGTTTTCAATTCTTTGTGCTCTTGTGTGATCGCTGGAGTTCTTAGTGTTCGATTCGTTGTTTACAGAGACTTTATTCTCTCCTTTATTGGTGGTGGAATTTTGATCCGCTTAGTTTAACCGTGATTCTTTTTTTTTTCTATGTATCTTTAGAAGTTTGGGATCAACATTTACAATTTGGGTTTGATGATCTTTGTTTGGGATATAGTTTTCTTGTTTCTGGGTTCTTGTTTATTGCTTTTGTTTTTTGGTCTTATTGGTGCTGCTGGCTAGGGTTCCTATACTGTTTCGAGTGTTCTTTTGAACTTGATTCCAGTCTGCCTATTTTCTTCTTCTTTACATATATTTATTTTTTTATTGCTGAAGATGCTATTTTTTTTTTTTACATACTGATCAGTGTATTTTTGCTGTTACTTACGCGTTTACGCTTAACTGAATGACGCCCAGAAAGGATCTTCGAGTTTTCCTCTTAATTTGAGTTCATCATGTTTCAAGGTTTTGCTAAGAAAGGGTCTTTATGGGTTGCATATGTTTCTAATATTTATGTTATTCTTTCTGTTTTGGCTCTGTTTGTTCCTGATCTTGCAAGATTTAGTTACTAATTACTAACATTTCCATCCATTTTATTTTGAGACAAACACAGATTTAAAGGAAAACCTTGAACTTGAAGATTTTTTTTTTCTTTTTAATAGTACAGTAAAATTTTATGAAAGAAAAAGAGAAACGGGAATGTACAAGACAAGATTGATTAGTTTATTTTCGTTGTAAATTTAACAATAAATGAAAGGAACTCTTTATGTTTCTATTAATTGGTTTGTAGCAGTTTTTGTCATGTAAGAAATTATCTTTGTTTCTTTATAGTAAATCTATATTTTTTTGGCTATAGTCAAATTTATATTAACATAACATATTGTAATTCTAGAATATTCAACTGAATGGATATAGCTACCCTTGCCAGTAATTAATCATTTTGTGGAAATGTTGTCTATGCTTTACTATAGGATATTAATTTGTTTGGTTCTCTTTTCATATCCTTTGTTTTTAGATCCAGAACTTTGCCTTAAATAACCATATGATAACTGAATGAACAACAACCAATCTGGTTCCCAGATAAACCCAAAGTCCCAAACTGTTGACTGTGGAACCATGCGTCCACGTGGAGTGAAAGGGTCCAGAATTTTGAACTGTATTTCATTTATTGCTTTATTATATTGTCCCCTATGGTAATAATCTTGGGTTATTCCAATTATAAGTTTGCTTTTGTTTTTTCTGTTCAAATTATATGGTTATTTGGCTTAATTGTCAATATTTGTGTAATATAACTTCTGTGTTTGGGTAACATCCATTTCTATGTCTGTCATATTTCTGATGCCATTGTTTCTATAGTAATTGGTGTCTTATCTTCTCATCCTACTCATATTTCTGATGCCATTGTCGTTATGACTTATTTTTCCCTCTATGTTTCTGTATTAGGATACAGGCTTGCATGTGCTCCAGTTTGTCATCAAGCAATTAATTTTGCATTCTCATCATAGTGGTAAATGTGGCATCATCTGTGTATGGATCAGCTTTTTAGTGTCTCTGTTTCCTCCTTTGAAGCATGATAAAACATTCACCATAGTCTCTCTTGCAACTACCGATTTACTTGAAGCATTTTCAAGAAAAGTAGTGATTTAATTGAGGAACCTCAAGAAATGTCCAGTGGAGAGCCAAGAAGAGTCTCACATAAAGATATACAATTGGTAAGAAAATCATTAGTCATTAAGCTTGATATTTCTTTTACAGATTCATAGCTCTGATAGCATGTGATAAGTTTTTTCTGTTTATTTTTTTGATATATAACAGAATTTATTAATTATGAACAGAAATATATGTACAAGTTAAGCATCTCTTGGAGAGGTCAATATTACTACCTCTCCCAAATGGCACTAAATTACAACTAAGAGTGCAGTTGATCCCTATTGACCCCTTGCTTTGCTATTGTGTCAGCCAATCCATTTGCAGATTTTACCTGTTGTGCCCTTATCAGCATGCTCCTTTTTAACCATTTATTCTTTAGCACCTCTCTGTGATACCAAACTGCTTTTTCCTCATCCTCTACCCAGCTCACCACCACCTTAGTGTCTCCTTCAATGGTTAACCTATTCAACTTCATTTCTTTTGCTCTTTGTACTTCATGAAGAACAACATAGAGTTCAGCCCTTGTGGAGTCCCCAAAGCCAATAGAGCCCGAGAACAAGACTAATGCAGCCATCCTTATTCCTAAAAATCCCCTCCAACACCTAAGGGACCTAGATTACCACAACTTCTCTCATTGAAGTTTAGCTTTATGAAACTATCCTCAAGTGGTTTCTATTCCTTTTGAATTCTCCACTTTTTTGATAAAGTTACTGCCACTTCCCCCATTTTCTCCTTGTATCATCATATGAGTAGGATGAGAAAATATCCATAGCTTTAACCGAATCCACCTTATCCATGATGCATTGCAATACTGCTTCCCTAGTTCTTGAGATTGCCATTTAATAAAAACATTCTTGATAAATCACTTACACATTTTGACTTTCATCTATTGTGTCTTCATTGCAATTTAGTTTCTAATGTTAACCCTTATAGGAGAGAATTGAGCTAAATGTACAAATCATGAGATTCCATTTTTTTCCTTAAGAAGTTAGTTTTGGTTTTTGATTGATAACAAAAATCTCATTAACTAAAATTATGGTTGACATAGAAAAAAGGAAGGAAAAGAAGGTCTCCACTCTGAGAGAACAATCGTAAGTTAAGGCTTCAAAGAAGGAAGTGCAAGAGAAAGAACCCAAGGGAGGATTCCAAAACTGGCCATTGGGTTTAGTGGGGTCAAGGAACACCTCATCAAGGATTTGGAGAAGTCTAAGCACACTGGGAAGTTCAGAATCCATATGCTTTAAGTGTAGTCAGCTAGTATATGTATTAGCCACAAGTTGAGAAAATTCTTGTTTACCTGAAAGATTTACTAAGAAAAAGGATCTTATATGCTATATGCTGATCATGATCACCTGAAGCTGGAGGTGTTCACAAATGTATATTGGACTAGCTTTTGTGATAATAGCCATTTCACATCAGGCTATTACACCTTTGTGGGTGGCAATCTTGTGCCATGGAGTAAGAAATAGTAGTGACTAGGTCTAGTGCTGAGGTAGAAAATATGGCCATGATTTATGGATTTTTAGAACTGTTGTGGGTTAGATCCTCCTTGGCAAGTTTGGCATTAATCTTGATGAACCAATGAGGTTATATTGTGACAACCAAGCAGTCATTATCACTGTACACAATTTAATCCAACATGATGGAACCAACATATTGAAGTTGATTGACATTTTATACAGGAGACGATTACTTCTGGTTCTGGAGATGTGTGCATCAGTTAAAATTAACAATAAATTACCTGCCAAGCTGGGCATTCTTTAGATCTATGTTTAGTTTAAGGGGATGTATTGAGATGCTTAATTTGTACATGGCACTCATATGCATGCTTATGTGAGGGTATGGGTGTCAATCTGCATTATGTTATAAATAATGCTGACTGCTTAATCATTGACTCTTATTCTCTCAAACACGTTCTCCTCTTTTTCATCTTTTTCCATTCTTTCTCAACCCTAGTCAAGGTAAAATCAATCACACAATACCCAGTATTTCTTTTTGCTGGGGCTGATTTTCCTTCGCTTGGATCACAAATCATGTGTACTTCATTTTCTTCTCTTTTAATAAATTTCAATTTTGTATGATGCCTGTAGAAAAATATGCAAATAATCCCTAATTAGAATTGCTTGGTTTTCTTAGAGTTGATTAAATTCTTTCAGTATATTTCCTTGTTTTAGTTGCCACTTACTTTGGGCTTCATAACTAGAAGTATAAATCTATGGTTTCATATGTGTTTGGATCAAGTTCTTTTCTATTGTTGTGACATCTCTAGCTATATATATTCCTTAATTGCAGGTACAAAATCTTATAGAACGATGTCTGCAATTATACATGAACCAGAAAGAAGTTGTTGATACTCTTATGAAGGAGGCAACCATAGAGCCTGGTTTTACCGAACTTGGTAATTGTTATGTATGGTTTATTATTTAGTCATGTCTCATGCAATATGATATATTGTGGTGCACAGACATTTTATCTTTTTTTGAAAAAAGGTAAGGTAATTTATTAAGACAAACAGAAATTACAGAGGAGCTCCAAAACCAGAGCTAGAATACAGAGAACCAAATGTAAAACATGGGTATGATGGATATAGTATATGTGTCAGACTCATCAAAGCTACGACATTTCTTGCTTTTGGTTTCCTATTTTTTCTCTTTTTTGAATTTTGAGTTTGTTGGACTTGGTAAATACCCAATTATTTGGATATTGATCCAGCTTAAAGTATGAATTGATATTTACAAAGCACTATAATTTGAGATTGATATTTGGACACATGTAAGACCAATCTCAATTTAACCTTACACACCACACCATACACTGATAGTGAACAATTGTATTTTGAGTTTGTTTCATGCTGCAAGTTCATTTCTTTGCCATTGTTGATGCTCTTGACCCCTTTGAATATTTCCTCAGCCATCAAATTATACTTGGCTAAACAAGGGGAAAGTAGGGAACAGTTGTTTTGGGCCAATTGTAAAAGGAATTTATGGGGAGAGATAGGATTCCCTCTACTCTCTTTGAGTTGCATGTAATATCTATACTTACTTGCTTATAATTAATAAAGTTTCTATTATCTATCAAAAAAAAAAAACAAAAACAAAAATTATCAATTTTTCTTCTGATGTTTTTTGACCACTAGCGGCCCTTAAGCCTGGCCCGGGCCTGGACCCAGTATTTTAGGTCCAAACTGCACATATTTACGTATATTATATCTCTACACATGTATACTTGTTATTTTATCATATATTTTATATTATGTATACACATTATAATATTTTTTATCAGAAACAGATATAAACATTATAATGTAACACCTATAATACATATTATATATTATAAAATATATAACAAAATTTGTACATATATTATATTTCACATATAATATGAAATTTTATGTATATTTAATATTTTATTTTTGAAGTCATAGGCCTGGGGTCCAGGCCCAGGCTATAGCCCTTATCATAGGTGCTAACTGCTAAGCCCAGCCTGGTCCATGGTCACACCTAATTGGATCTCTGTTGGGATAGATGCCATGATTGTATTTCTATTCCAATACAATGATGCTTTTACACAAATCTTAGGTATGGAAATAATGTTCTTTCTCTTTGCTGGAGTTCCAATCCTACATTTTTAGCATTAGAAGGTTAACTCAGCCACACCTACAAAGTAAGACATCGTGATCTTTTCTTTCTTTTTCTGTTTTTTGCTCAAACATCAAGAAAGGGCATGATGGATGATGGGGATATAGTAAGGTTATTCTATAATAGTAAGCTTGATTTTCCCACCTAGCTACTTGTTTAACAGAAACTTCTTTTATTTTACATCAGAAAGTGATTATGTTATTTATTTGATCTCTCCATGATTCTTGCTTTTTTCTCCTCAGTTTGGCAAAAACTTGAAGAAGAGAACAGAGAATTTTTCAAGGCATACCATTTGAGGTTGATGGTGAAGAACCAGATTCTAATTTTCAACAAGTTACTTGAGAAACAGGTTGAGTTAATGCGCCAAATATGCCCACCTGGAGTTGCTTCTCTACCTGTTTCTAACGGGTCTCGTACATCATCATGTATGACAGCTTTCTGCATCATTGTGTTTTATATGTGCTTGATCTAATTTGAACGTGTTCTATTTTCATGCTTACAATTCTTTGCTCATTGTTTTTGTGGCATTATTGTATAATTCTTGGCCTGTAGCATAATTAATATGGATACCATTTCTGTCATCATATCACATCCATAGCTTTGACTGAAGCATTTGAATCATGTGCAAATACTCCAGTCATAAAATGCCCATTTCTTCCCTTGGTTGATTAGGAGATTAAGATACAGTTTGATGGCAGCTCTCTGTGGAAATGTGGAGCCAGCTGGGATTAGCAGAATTTTTCTGGGTGTATAGTGAACCTGTTGGCAATGTGGACCCAACTGAGGCAGGGTTGTTTCTTTCCTAACTAGGGCCTGAATTTGCTGAGGATCTTTCATCTCATCCTCTGATAGTTTTGTTGAGGGGGACTTGGCCAATAATCAGGTGGAAGTGAATTGGCCAAGGTCCTTGGATACTTGCTTACTACATTCAATTGCTTAGCTAGATCATTTGTAGGAAGCTTTATGTATGTAAATAGGTCTATGTCCACCTAAATTTTCTAGGTGGTGGGTGGGGGTCATCATCATATTCTTTTTTACGTCATTGTATGTCTTCTGATATTTGACATATTAATACAATGAAAATCAGCTGCCTTTACAGAAGAGGAAAGGATAACAGTAACAGACCAAGTTCTATGTTATCATCAGCATTGCGTGGACATGGATATGGTAGTTGCAATATAATGCATGTCCAGAAGTCTGACTCAGCAAGATGGGAAAAAAGGCATGCAGTTGGGGATGGGGAGATGTCCAAAATCAGTTTTTACTATTAAAGATTTATTTATCTTGAGTTCTATAATCACATCTGAAAGGCCATTTATCCAATGTTGGTGACAGCTATCATCATATAGTTGAAGAGGATTAAAGTTTATTTATGTTGCCTAGGAACATTCTATAAAAAAAGATGGAATTTGTTATGCATATATGATGTTCATTATTCCAAAAAAGTGGGGACAAAGTAGAACTTATTCCTTGGTAGAATTCCATGTCAGAAAAGACCTGTTCATGGGGTTTCAAAACAGCTCAATAAGGTATACTTATCCTTATTTTTCTTTCTTTTTCCACTTTCAATAAAAAGCATACTTCCCTTAAGAAACACAGTACTTTAGCAATCTGGACACCACCTCCGGAAGGGTTTTACTAAACCGAACTTCGATGAGAGCAGTCAAGGCAATCCAGGACTGTTGGGTATAGTTCTGAGAAATGAGGTAAGTAAAATTATATCCATATTCTCAGACCCAGTGGTAATAGGTGACTCTACAAGGGATGAGTTATTAGCTGCAGTACAAGGGATCCAGATTGCTAACCAACTTGGGGTGGAGAATCTACTAATTGAAGGAGGTACAAAGGTGGTTGTGGGATGGCAGTTGGACCCAGATTCTGTCATTTGGAGTTATAGGGATATCATAAAAAAAGTTAAATGGTTAACATGGCACATGACTATTAGAACCCAATGGGTGGGCAGGTCGGCAAATGCAATGGCTGATTATCTTTTTTTATCAGCAATACAGAAATGATTTCATTAAAAATAGAGAAAATAATTACAACAAGAGGTCGTGGAAAAAGAGAAAAAACAGTTTCAGAAAAGCTGACCCAACCCAAGAGTTATAATTGAACCCAATACAAGGAAGTTCTTTGTACTCCTTGCTTAGATAAACCTTCTGCCAGACTGTTGGCAGTTCTCCTAACCCATTTAACTTGGATTGTCATGTCTTTTGACAGCCATTTAAATAATCTGAGTTCATTTCTTAGATGCCATGACACTCCTTCCCCCTTCAGCCATTTCACAATAGTTCTTGAATCACTCTCAGTGATCAGTCTATCAATACCCAAACCTTGGCCCTCTCAACCCCATTTACTATAGCCAATAACTCTGATCTAACCACATCACCTTGTTCAGTTGATCCAAGTATAAGGCTACGATGTTTCCTTCTTCATTCCTAATGACACCTCCTATGCCTGAGGGGCCTGGATTGCCTAGATAACTTCCATCACAATTGAATTTCTTCTAGCCACAATTTGGGGGTGACCACTCCTCAACTATTTTCTGTCTTCTGGACAATGAGGCAATAATTACACCCCAAGACCTGAAGAAGTCCTCAACTTTAAAATCCGAGAAAAGTTTCAGACTTTTAGCCCATTGTGCCACCACTGTTAGAGCTATGACTTCTACCAGAGCTTCCTTCTTTCTTTATCTTGAAAAATTCTTGAGTTCCTTTCCTCCCAAACTGTCCAAAGCACCACTGCTCTAGTACATCTCAAAATCTTGTGCCTCCTTTTAGTACAACTAAAAACAGTAGGGCTAAACAATCCTTCCAAACTGCTAGGAGAAGACCATTTGCATCCAAAAAGAGAAGAAAATTAATTCCAAATACAACTAACAAAAGGATAGGAGATGAAGAGATGAAAAGCAGTCTCACCATAACTTACAAAGGAAGCACCGGCCAAGGGGCAAATAGGGGGACAAACATCAGTTTGGACTTTTTCTTTGAAGCAAGTCAAAGGTATTAATACAACCATGAAACACTTCCCATCAAAAAACACTGATTTTTGGGGGGATATGAAAACACCAAACTTCCTTAACCATGAAAGAAGAAGAGGAGGCGGCTACCAGGGAATTAAAGAAAGACTTGCAAGAGAACAAACCATCAAGATTAAGACCCCAAACCCTAGAATCCAAGCCACCTTCTCCCAGGACCACTGAATTCAGAAAACCTAATAGCTCAAACACACTAGGAATTTCAGATTTTTCTATTGAAACCTAAGTTCCAGTTCAGTCTTGAAGGAAGAGAGTGCTGGCCAAAACAATCCAACACAGTTACCCTTAAGACAGGAAAGAGCAAAAGGTGAAAGAAATCTCTCCCCCAAAGGGATATCCTCAATCCCTAAAACTTAACTCTTTGACCCAAAGCCAAATCATACTTGACATGATTGAGGAAAGCAGGAAGAATCTCATGAATGGCCTTTCAAGGAGTAACCAGAGTAGCTCTACGAAGACAACCAACATCCCATCCATTGATTGGCATGCCATGAATACTTGCAACAACTTTGTGCCATAACCTCTCATTTTCTTTGGGGAACTGCCAAATCCATTTACTAAGCAAAGGCAAAATTTTCAACCTGACATTACCATTTCCCAAGCCCCATTTTGTCTTTAATTTCACCGCTTTCTCCCGTCTTACTAGACGATCTTTCTTTCTTTCTCCTGGCTCCCAAAGAAAATCTCCTCTGTGATTTTTTCAATTTTCCTCACTACCTCTTGGAGCATCCTAAACACTGGGAGGGTGGTGAGGGTGGACTTAGTAAGAGTTAACCTCGCCCCCAACGAAATATAGCTCCTCTTCCACCCATCTAATCTCTTCTCCACCCTCTCCACCACGGGTCCAAAAACTAGAAGATCTAGTGTTGTCACCTAAGGGTAACCCTTAGTATTTCATAGGCCACTCTCCCTTCTCACAACCTAAAGAATCTTTTATAACCCTCAATTCATATTCTTCTATGTTGATTATCTTCCTAAACAAGGGACTTCTCGGGAACTATTATATTGGGCTGCATGTAATCTTTAGTTTTTGAGAACCTGTAATCACTATTATAGAAGAGGTCACACCTCTCCAAGGGATGCTTGTAAAAGTTTATCTTCTTGATTAATGAAATTATCAATTCAATTATCAGAAAAAAAAAGAAAAAGTTTGTCAATGAACAAAATTTTACAAAAAAGCATGTAAGAAAGGGGAAGGTGAAGATGTATATTTTTTATGCTCGAAAAAAGTGGGTAACTATAACAAAGAAACTGAATCTACATTTTGAATATCATACATACAGTTAAGGTTGATTGTTGTACCATCTAGTCTAAGGAAACTTTGAAGTACCATTTCAGAAGAATTTTCAAAGCATATATTTACCTGGATCAATATGTGATTAAGAAGGCCCATGGCCTAGATTGTTGATAGACCTGTTCATGGGCCGGGTCGGACTTTGCCTCTTTATCAACAGAAAATGTGTAGGCCCAAAGCCTGGCCCAACCATCGGGCCTAGATCTTGAGCCCGAGCCCAACCCTTATATAAAGCTTGAAGCTCGACTTGTACACAAAATGTCTTATTTTTAGTGTACTTTTATAAACTAATATTATATTAATTTAGTAATAATTTAATAAATTAATAAACTAATTTGTATTTTCTAATAGTAAATTAATATTTATTAATAATTTAAGAAATAAATATATATTATATATAACATAATGCTTTTTTATTATATGTAATAGTATTGGGCCCGGCTCAGACCCAAGCCAGGCTTTTTTGAGAAAGCTCAAGCCCGGCCTAAAAAATGACCAGGCCTGGTATTTAAAGCCCAAGCCCGAGCCCGTGGGCCTGAAGTTTTGTCCAAGCCCCAAAAATAACAGGTCGGGCCATTGGGCTACCTGGCCCATGAACAGGTCTAGTTGATCGCCATTGCACTTGGAAGGGGTGCCTGCCTAACATTTTCCCAACTGTGAGGGCACACATCAACAAAAAGAAAAAAAGGAAACTTTTTGTTTGAAGCATCTTTGCATGTTATGTTAATACATAGTGCATGAGTTTTGCTTTCATGGGGGTCACTTGATAGATTTTGCAACTTTTACACCATGTATTTGATATTAATTTTGTGGCCTTTAGTATTTTTTTGTGGATCCACTAGATTGTATTGATTTCTGTTGACAAGTGTTATTTTGGAGTTAAACTCCCATTGAACCGGCAATCTGATGTTTCTTTGTTACAGTAAACCAGGCTTCTGCATGCTATGTCCCAGAGCATACAATAGCACCTGCAAGGCTGGAGAACAGGCATCATGGAATTGGTCCTAATGCTCCTAATGCATTCATAAGTGATGCATCTTCAGTGTGCAGGAATATGCATGTAACTGATGATGTTCCTGCTCATACCAGGAGGATAGATGTCTCAGCTAGCATACTTTCAACTCAAAACTCACAAATGGGAATGGTACCAGGAATGAATGGAATGGTGATCAAATCAGAACCTGGGTATTCAAACAATTCAACTTTTAGTTTTGGTACTGAAACCAATGTCTTGGAAACACGCTCAGCACTTGGCGATGCATCTATTACAACTTTCAGTAGCACGGAGTCCAACTCACACCCCCTGAATGGGCTCCTGGAAAATGATGTTTCTTCATTTGGACTTTTAGGCCAGATTCCTCGAAATTTCAGTCTTTCAGATTTGACTGCTGACTTTTCGCAGAGTGCTGGTGAGTAGGATTAGTCATTCTGATCAATCAGTTAATTGTTCTATAATGGCCAATACTGATCATTCTGTTCTCATAACTTAAAGATATACTGGAGAATTACTCTAGGTCCCCGTTCCTAGGAACAGATGCAGAGGACTTCCTGAATTCCCCTGGAAATGGTGACTGTCAAGGTGAGAAATTTATAGTTTTATTTTGCTAAATCTCTTATTTGGTTCCTGATATTTACATGTTGGCTCAACCAGGAGGGAATAAGAGACTGGATACCATATCAGAGGACTTAAGTTATGAGGAATTTGGTAGTGAATGATCAGACTTTTCAACTTGTAAGTTCCTGTATCATAGAACTATTTTTAAATATGTTGCTTCTGATTTTCTGCTATTAGGGAACCCTTCAATAATAAGATATGAAAATTCTTTCTGGCAAGATTAATCAATGACAACCCATGAAGTTAGAGCATTGAGCAAAGGGGCAAGACAAGAGGAAGATAGTGGTTGAAGAGGGTGTGGCATTTGGGATGTCAGTGGAGATTCTGGGTGGTTGGTTAAAGTTCTTTTATTCAAGTAGGTGTTGATTATCTTTTGTCTGTAACAGACTGATAAAACCCAGCCCACTCTATCTGCTGTGTGTGCTCCAGACCCGAGCCTATACAAACCCAGGAATATCCTTGGTCCCCCACCACCACACTCAACCTCGCCAACTAAGCCTATCATTCTCTGTGTACCTTAGAAAGCTGTGTCAGGCTACTGGGAATAACTAACTGCACATGGCTTCACATGTAAAGCCTATGAGTATCAGCAGAGCAATTGGATTGGAATGAAAAATTTCCCACTATTCTCCTATATTCTTCTACTTCTTAGGAGGTTGAGTCGCCCTCGAAGCCGATTCCTGTGTTGAGCAGTATCTCAACACAGACCTGTATTGTGCCTGTTGTCCCTTGATGATAAATTCCTTACCTTTGCCATTGGATGTATTGTTTTGGAGGGAGGGGGATATAACCTTGTGTGTGGGTGTAGTAAAAGAAGGAAAAAGATGAAACATGATGAACCAATAAAAGAAACTGTGCCATAAGTATTAGAATACATGGAATTAACCACCAACAATGTATCCCGATTGTCAAGAAGGAAAATTTGATTCAAATAAGGTGGTGGACAAGGCAGTTCAGGTTATTAAGAGTTTGGGTATTTTCTTTATGGGTGGAGATTGCCAGAAGTGTGTCTATGGACTTAGAAAGGAGATTGGGGTGATGCCTCAGACTTTGCTGGAGCTTCTGTCATCCTGGCAGAAAAGGGGAATGAGTAAAGAAGGGAAACTAGTCTGGGATGCTGTGCAAGTGGTGGTCATATGAACCATTTGGGCTGAAAGGAATAGATGGATTTTTCGAAATGTAAGCAGATCTAGGGAGGAGCTCATCAACATCTCAGTAGGAAATCTGAGGTCTTAGGTTGTGGCTGCCAAGGATTTGGACCATCAATCCATCCCTTCAATCTGTTGATTTCTGGTTGTAATGTTCTGTTGGTGTGTATGTGTGTGGGCTGGGGTCCTTGGTGTTTGTCAAGGCCTTGATCCCTTTGTTGTATCATTATTTTTTGTTTCCAGCAATAGATTTTACTTTATCTTTCACAAAAAAGAAAAGAAAAGAAAAGAAAAGAAAGGAAAAGAAAAGGTGCCAACCAGCTGGTTGGTAAGGTCTCCTGCTGGTCATAGCGGAGACTAGGGATCGAATCCTGGGGTTGGGTTTCAAAACTTGATCCCAACAGTGAGTCTCACATACCAGCAGCATCATGATGATCTTGATGAGAAACTTGATCCCAATTAGTTTTAGCCTGGTGTTTTGAATCTGTGAATGTTGGTTTTCTTTTGGGTCTGTTAGCTAGTTGGGCTACTACAGGGGGCTTCTGGTAGTTTCTCCACACCATATATTCAGGTTTTATGTCTTTTGGAGTTATTATAGGTGCATTTTTTTACTGGGCTGTAGTTTCAGATTTTGGTTTGTAGGATGTTTGCCTGTTAATTGACATACTGTCTGATGTTAGGATGGTTTGGATCTTGATTTTTAGTACTGTATTTTGTTTTATAAGTTATTCCTTTCTGGGGCCACAGTGTCTGTATATAACTTGTATTTTTTTTATGAGCAAGACAATTTTCAATTATTAATATCCAAGACAAATTCAAGTGTTTTAGATACTCAGTAGCCTAGAATTCATCAGAATACAGCTTGCCGGCAGTACTTTGGTTTGCCAGTCCCCCCGTTTTGCTACTACAGATTACAACATTGCCCAAAATAAAGTGGATCTATCAGCTACCTATTTTGCTAGGACATCTGCCAACCCATTTGCTGTCCTTTTTTCCAGCCGAAGTTAGAGTAAAAACTCTTTACAAGAAGATCAATTTCCTTAAAAGCAAATCTATATTTCCAAGGGGTTGAGTTGATTTGCTTAGCCCAAGAAATAACCAACGAGGAGTCTCTCTCTACTTCCAGCTCTGTAACTCCTAGCTGCGCTGCTAGTTTCAGTCCTTGTAAGAGAGTCATTATTCTCAGCTTTAACCAAGTCTCTGAATCCACTTGGTCCCGAGAACAAGGCCACTACTTCTCCTTGATGGTTTCTAAAGACTCCCCGTATACTTGGTCCTCCCTGGATTGCAAAAAGAGCTGCCATCAAAATTTCGCCTCAGTTTATTTGGCTCCGGAGGTTTCCATTCCATTCTCACTTCTTTATGTCTATCTATTTGTACCACTTCAGCCCATTTCCATAATAAGTAATTTGTAGAGACATCATTGACAAGTTCCATTGTTTTTGCCCATGTGCGGATCTGAATTATATGGTTTCAATCGCTTCTTCCTTTCACTTACTCTTTTCATTGAAGATCCTTTGGTTTCTTTCTTCCCATTTTTTCCAAACCACGTTTGCTCTTGTTATCCTCCACAAACATCTTCCCTTTTTTTTTGGAAAAAGGTAAAGTGATTTTATTCAATGAGAAAGCCAATTACAACAAGACTCAGGCCAACTAGGCCTTCCTGGGCCCAAAACATATTACAAGAACATCCATGATTTAGTACAAAGAAGGAGAGAAACATTCTGACTTTTAAACTCCTCATTCACCGACACCCAGGAGCAAATCTTCCCCACCACTTTGTGCACAATCTCATCTGGACTTTTTGATTGATTATAGAAAATTCTATTGTTTCTTTCCATCCAAATGGACCAAAGAACAGCCTGCGGAATAGTATTCCAAACAAGCCTGCCTTTCTTGCTAAGACCCTCCAATCTCCAACTCATAAACAGATCCTTCACAGACTTGGGCATAGTCCAACACACCTCTAGTTTCTTGAAGAAAGGTCCCCTGATTGAAGAGGAAATCGGACAGTGGATGCACAAATGATCTATAGATTCAGCCCCAATGCCACATAAAACACAGGAGGGATCAGGAATCTGAACACCCCTTCTCTCCAAGTTGACCCTGGTTAAACATTTATTCAAAACCATTCTCCAAACCAGGAAGTTAACCTTGGAGGGACAGGTGGGGTTCCAAATCTGCCCATCTGGGAAGTTCTCCTGACCTGAGCTGCACATCTTAAGGAAAAGGGATTTAACATCTTCCCTTTTTTTTGTTGCCTTAAGAAGTTGGATTTGAACAAACTAACCTCATCCTGTGGGGGAACCCATCTGCAACCAAAGAGAACAGAAATATTCTTAAATGCAAGTCAGAAAAGAGTAGGATATTAGTGAGAAAGGGTCTCACCACTAGCCTTACAAAGGATATGAGGGGATATGAGAGAGAGAATTATTTGGCCTCCTTTTCTGTGGCACGCCACAGGTTTTAATTTTTCCAAAGAACATTTCCCAACAAAGAGCCTGCACTTTAGGAGGGACTGGTTTGCACTAGCTTTCTCTCACCGGGAAATTCACCCCCATAGGTTTTGAGCGAATAAAAAGGTTAAAGAAGGATGCACAAGAGAAGAGGCCATTAGGTGAGGGGCACCAAACTCTACCATCCAAAAGATTTTGATCCAAAAAAAAAAAACTTTTCCAAATTTGAGAGTTGGAAGAACAAGGGATTAAGTGGTAAATCCCCAAGCCAAAGCTCTTCCCAGAGTAAGACTTTATTTCCAAATCCCACATCAAAGCAAATGAAGTTAAGAAAGGTAGGCAATACCTCAAAAGTTGCTTTCCAAGGGGAGTTTGAAGCAATATGAGGCATTATTTTGCATCACAGCCATTGTCCTCTACACCGTGAATGTTTCCTTGTACTGCTTTTTCTTTAAGAATTATATTTTACTAACAAGGCCTTGATGATGATGATGACCAACAGTTGGGAGTGATGGTAGAGCACAATGGCTAGACAGGATTCATGTAACCAAACCTCAAATGTTGGGATTAAGGCTGAGTTCAGTTTATATACATTATCTGAAACTTGAGGGTCAGTAAATTGTTGGATTTATTCTTCTTGGGAGGAGGGGGGGGATTTTGCAAAGGAAGCTTGATTCTGGTTCAGGGACAACTAAGGAGATTGGAAGTTTAATGATAGTTGGAGAAGTAGAGGAGAGGAAGAGTAGAGGAGACCTGAGTGCTGATCAATTGTTTGAGAAGAATGCCATATTTGAGTTAGAAAGAATTAATGCTCAAAGGAGGGTGGATTACTGCCCTAATGCAGTAAGAAGATTTAGAAGACAGAAAACCAATCAAAAGAGACAAGTTTCAAATGCTTTTGCCAGATTGAAGCTGGGAGTATATGGAGCAGGATTAAAAAAAGGGAGAAAGATAAAGAAAGTTTCCCAGATGAGACAAGAGATTTCTATATTACACAGAGGGCATGATGAGGAAATAGATAAAGTTTAAGTTGAGCATTTCATCAGTTGGATTGTTTGGGTTTCAGGATGTTTTTTCATGTGTTTTCTGGCAGGATTTGGAGGTTCTGGGATATTCAGTCTTTTGTTTGTTTTAATTTGTTTAGGGTTTGGTGGTAGGGACCTTTGTGATTTTTTATTTTTTTTTGTGATATTTGTAATCAGATATGGGTTTGCTTCTTAAGGTGCTTTGGTATGTCTGTAGGGTTAATTCTCTGTTTTTAGGGGCTTTTGTTTGGGTAGGTCTGTTCTTGCTGGGTGATTCCTTATCACCTTGCTGTAATCTCCTTTTCCTTTTCTCTAATAAAGTTATTTTTTTATTTATCTTCAAAAAATAAATAAACATAAGCACAGAAATTTAAGCAAGCACCTTTTAGCCCATATCATTGATAAAAAATTTAAAAAAACTTTTAATCCGTATCTTTTTTTTTTTAGCAAAGGTAAAGTATAATTGTATTAATGTAAAAAGGTCCTTT